CTCTCCGCCTCTGTCCTCGCCTTTCCTCTTGCTTGCCCATCCTCGCACCCTCTTCTTTCCTTTCTTTGTTTCCTGGCCCTCGGAGGCAACGGGGCAAGGGGCCGGAAGACCTGTGGGGGAGGGGGTGACACGACAGCGGCGACGGCATCTCCTAGGTGTCCTGCGGTGCCCCCCGGCCGCGCGAGCGGTCAAGAGGCGAGTGGGGCCGGTAGTGAGATCAAAAGGGAGATCGATTGAGAGATCACATCGCGACGCAGTATCGTCATCACGCGTCATCGCCAACTCGAGGGCGCAACACCAGCATCGTCACCATCAAAACCATCGCAGTTGTCATCAGTTGGTTATGTCCCCCAAACCTGCTTATCACCCGAAGGGTGGTCGTATAGGTATATACATACATATTATCTAGAGACAGGTTTATGTATACATCTAGTAGACAGAGGGAATTGAAGAGAGAGAGAGAGAGGGAGAGGGAGGGAGCTGACCAGTACGTATGCACATACAATAGAGGAAGAGGAAGCTATATATAGAGAGAGAGGGAGAGAAAGAGATGGGGGGCAGAAAGAGAGAGAGGGAGACAGACAGACAGACAGATAGAAGGAGAGAAACAGAGGAGGGACAGAGCGAGCACAACATAATGTCTATATACATACACCAAAAAATGACAGAGGGGGATAGGGAGTGGGAGACGAGGAAGGAGAGCCAGGCAAAGGCGAAGCCTCGTCCCTCGTCATACTGAAACCATCATCCTGCTCCACCCCCCACTGCTCCTGCGGTAATCCATCATGTTGCTCCTGCTGCTCGCCATCCTGGCCGTATCGATTCACAACTCCCATCGTCGGCGAGCAACACTACCAAGCCGAGGCATTCCGTGCGTACAACGACTGCGGGCAATATGAACACCATGCGGAAGTAGCGATCTCCGGCCTGTTTAGAAACGCCCACCAAGCAAGTCGGGAGCCCACTTGTAAACCCGGACAGTGCCGTTAGTCTTCGTGGGAGCCCCGCAGTCAGAGCGGCAAGAAAACCAGACAGCTGAAGGGGCCCAGGGACACACAAATAAATAGACACAAATAACAAGATCCCCCTTAGTTTCCAACATTTTCTGGGTTTTTGTCTTCCCCGCACTTCCCGTATTTTCCCATATCTTTCTGGGAGTCGACGATTGATTGTGTCTGTGTGTTTCTTTCCCTCCTGGACAGCCCAAGAGCCACCAGAGCGGCCAAAGCGGCCCACTCGTGATCCGAGCAAACCAGGCATGGCAAGATGGCGCGGTCCTGGCAGAGCAGATGGCAGCCCCTGCCGGGCCATCAAAAACCAAGCCACAAGAAAGCGACAGTGTTCTCGGCGACAGGGCAGCTCCCTGACTGAGCGCAGGCGGTACGTGCCGCCCCAGGATAAAGGAGCCCTGGGACACACAAGTAAATACTCACAAATAAAAAAGATTCCCCATATTTTCCAATGTTTTCTGGGTTTCTGTCTTCCCCCCCACTGCCCATAGTTTCCCATATTTTCCTGGGAATCGACGATGAATTGTGTCTGTATGTTTTTCCCCTCCTGACAGGAACGCGCAAATGCGGCTGCACGAGTCGCTGGCGCGTCGCAGGCGCGGAAGCAGAGGGGCGCGCCGTGTGGCGGCCGGCCAGCGCGCATGGTCGCCTCTCGGCAGGGGGGGGGGGGAGCCGAGAGGAGAGAGAGAAGCCGACGCCGTGCCCACGACACAGCTGGAGGCGAGCTCGAATGCCCAACTGATGGCCGTCCGGTGCGGCTCCTGCAGCTTTCCGGGGGCGCTCCCCCGTCGCGCGACGTCGTCGTCGAACTTCGACGCTCGACCACGTGATTCGAGGCGCTCCCTGCGGCCCGAAGACGGCCCCAAGATGGTGGTCAGAGATCGCCCCAGGACCGATGCAGGATGCCCCAGAAGCCAAGACGGCCCGACGAGCCTCCAGAGTTCCCGACGTGTCACAAAGAGGCTGCGGCCCCATGGAGCACCAGAGGAGGCTCCCGAGGAGCTCCCTGACAGGAACCCAGGAGACCAAAGGCTCTGACAAACCTCAGGTTGTTCAGTGGTGTCCCAGGTGTGTTGGCCAGAGACGAATCCTGAATGCCCTGAAAGAACAGGGGGACCCCCTGAGAGGGACCAGGACTGCCCCGGACCCGAGACGGCTTCAGCAGGGCCCCACGACCTGCCCGGCCAGCTCCGAGATGCTGCTGCCGAGCCTCTTGCCCCGCCGCACTCGGGGGGGCCCCGAGAACCGCACGAGGCCCACAAGAGCTAGGTCCGGCCTGTCCCCCTACAGAGGGGGATTCTGACCGAAAAATGGCATGACAGATGCGCAAAACATGCTCCCCGAATGCTCGAAAAGGGCCACACAAAAAATAGTCCCCAGACTATATCTTGGACTGCTTTTTGGACCAGTCCCCCTGTAGAGGGACAGGCCCGACTTTTAACACAAGAGGCACCCCATCCATCGGGCCCGTCGCCGCCCGCCGCCGCCGCCCCCCGGGTGGCTCGCGGGCAGGCCGGCCGCACGCACGAGCGGGCCCCTTGCGCGAGAAAGAGGCCTTTGGGTGCGCGGCCTGCCGGGCGCTGCGCACGCCTGCGACGCTCTGACGAAGGGTCCTCCTCCTCCTGCTCCTCCTGCTCCTCCTCCTCCTCCTCCTCCTCCCCTCCTCCTCCTCCTCCTCCTCCTCCTCCTCCCCCTCCTCCTCCTCCTCCTCCTCCTCCTCCTCCTCCTCGCAGCTGAAGCCTCCGAAGGCCACGCGCGCGCGTGGTGAACAACGACAAGCCGGGCAAGCACGCAGTCGCAAGCTGATTGGGTCAGACTTTTGCGGGTCAGAGTCAGCGAAGGGGAAATCAAGAAAACAAACAAATCCTCATGCGACACTGGCCCTGGCGAAGAATCTCCAAAAAGGAAACGGCCCAGAAAAACACACGAATAGTCATTTGCGAAGACACTGCACGGAATGGAGCTTCTTTTGCCTGACCACCATTAGCAGGCGAAGGAACCACCCGCTACGTACACGCATGATCATGATCACCGCAATTGCAACCACGCTTGAGGCTCCCCATCGTCGTAGCTCTGTCGGAAAACCAGGGCGCCTGGACGGGCTGCGGGCCAGGCTCGAGACAGCGTCCGGCGCCAGCGGGCCCCGAGTCCTCGCAGCGCGTCGTCGTCGTCGTCGACGTCAGCCACCTCAGCCTCTTCATTCCTCATCCTCCTCCTCACCATCCTCCCTCCTCTCCCCCTCCCTCCTTCCCACCCTCCCTTGTCATCCTCCATCTTCCCTCCTCTGTCCCATGTTTCCGCCTTCCTGCTCCTCCTCCTCCTTCCTGATCCTCCGCTTTATCTCGGGCGGAAAATTCGGTCGCTGCCGTCGTTAGCTCGATGCCAAAGCACAAACACACTGCACAGCATCGGTACATCAACAGTGCTGGCCGAAATTACAAGAATACCTGGATGTCATCATCACCAAATTTGTGCTGTGGTGTCATCCGCGTTAGAGGGGCTGCCCTCCATGTTTCTTCTGACGATCCTCTTGCGGCTCCTGATCCTCCTCCCCCTTTCTCCACTAACCCTCCTCGTCATCCTCATCCTCATTATCGTCGTCTTGATGCGTCGCCGTCGTCGGACGAGAAGAAAGAGGGGCTTGTCAACAGCTTCTGGCTCATCGCCAAGCGGCATGCTTGCACCAGGCACTGACGTAGATAAGGCACGAAAAAACGAAAAGCTAGAAAACAGACTGGCAGTAAGCGACAAAAGAGTGCACCAGAGACTAGGGGAATTTGGAGCATGAGGATGATGGAGATGACGTCGCTGAGGAGGCATCAAGTGCAAGAGTAGAGAGGGAGAAGGATATCTGTTTCCACGCCCCTCGATCACCCTCACCAAATGCAAGCTAGTGTCCTGGGTCACCCAGCCGATCGGGTTCGGGTACCTTACTTGGCTGAGAGGTCAAGAGAGCTCGGTGCTGCCATATGTGATGGCATATGTCCTGCTCAACCCCCTCGTAATCATGTTCTTCCTCACGCTACGTTGGACACTCCCAGCGTAATTGAAAGTCTTGGCTGTCAGAAACGGCCCACTGGTCCACTGCCTCGGAGACTATGCCTGCTTAAGCCTTCGAAGACGCGCGCAATCATTCGCGCGCGTGTTGTAATACGCGCGGGGATGTTTGTAACACATATGTGCAACAAAAAAGGTTACGTTGTGCTGTGCATCTACTGCGCGACGGGATGTTCCAATAATGAGCAGGCCCATATGCCAGCGTCGATCCTCCTCGTACGCCTCATCGTTGTACTCCTCCTGGTTCCCCCCTAATAGCCTCGCGTGGTGTGACGTGGAATGAAGGGGTGGCAGGCCAAGTGCAAAAGGGGTGCGCATAGTTGTCGTTCTTGCGACTGGTCTGCTGATGTGAGCACCGAAAGTACCAGGGCCTTACGCATGCGGACATAGTGGCTTCACGCCGTGGCTTACGCGGGCCGCCAGCGCGGCACATCACATTGAAGACGCGGACGCTTACGCGCGATCTTACGCGGGTAACTTACGCGCGAATGACCGCGCAACCGAACACATGTTTTGCTCCGTTCATGTGTCCCTCGCGGAGGGGTCATAGGCGAGGAAATGAGGAACGCGCAAATTCCACCTCACCTGGTACATGATCGGTCTCGCCCACGCACTCATGTCACGCGCTGGGGGCCCGAGGGGACCGCTCTGACCCCCCCCCCCAAAAAAAGGGCGAGCAAGGCATGAGCGAGGGGCACATCACGCCAATCGAGCGGGCACCAGACCGCCACGCAGATGAACTTGCCACGGCCAGCGCACGCCTGCACAGCGCAGCACGAGGCCTCAGCGACGCAGCTGCATGGCGGTACACGTTCGCTGCCGCCCTCTACGGCACGGCTGTCGCGATCTATGACCAGCGTCACCAGACGCTCACCCTACCAGACAGAGGGGCGGGCTACTCGAGGGTTGAGCTCAGCAGGATAAAGGCCCCACCCTCTCGCCGTGGGCCAAAGGTGGCAACGTGCCACCGGACTCACAAGGCGGCCCCGCTCCCCTCGGCGGTCCACCAGGGCCCGACTACTTCGATCACCTCGATGATCCATGGACGGGCCTGACCGATGACTCCGACGGCGAGGAACAGGACCCGCTTGGTCTAGTAGCCCACCTGAACGATAACGAGAGCAACGAGTCTCCCCCCCCCAAGGTCACAGCAGTGACGGGCACAGCGATTACCACGATCACCGTGACGCGCGCCAACCAAGACTCCCCAACGGTCAGGTGAAAGCCACCAAGAGTCAACAGGATCAGGCCGCGACTACCAGTCTCGCTCACCACCAGGCCACATTCCCCTCCTACCAGGGTACGGGAAGCAGCGAATGGCCAGTGCAGACGACGGAACAGCCCCCGTTGGGACGGGGACCCGGCGAACGGACCGAAGGCAATCCCTTACGCAGCATCTCTCAGCGGCCAGACGACAGCCAGAGAGTGATCGCGAAACGGTCTTCGTCGCTTGCATCAACGCGCTCCAGCAGCGGCCCAATGACCTAGCCCAGTCTCTCCGGCACATCCAGGAACAGTCTGCCCCGCTGCTAGACAGGTTCCACTGAGCACAAGCTGCCCGGGGCGGCCTTCTGCACGCTCTACGACCTACTGCTTCTCTTGGAACGCACCTCAAGCCTCCAGGCGAACCTTAATGCTCAACGCGCGGCACACAAGTGCTAGCACCTCCTCAATAAATAAAGGCTCTGTGAGTAGCTGGCACCTGTTCCGTTGCCCTCTTCGAGGGCCGCCGCGGGGGATGCCCCGAGGTGGCGCCGCCAGTGTCCGGGGCGCCGTACCACGCAGGCCAGCGCGTGTGAACAGCTGGCGTCTCTCTGACTTCGGGTGTGCTGAGAGGGGTGAGCCTCGCCCTGATTACCGCGTCCCGCTTTTGCCCTCGTGTCGAAGTTCCTACAGACCGTGCCGCGGGGGGAGGGTAGTCTCCCCTAAAACTGCTTCTCGCAAGCGGCACCTCGAGCCTTTCGAGGCTGGCCCGGCGGAAGGGCTGCCCCCACGGACCTGAACATACGATGTTCAAACCGGTGTGTTCTTTCTCTCTCTCTCTCTCTTTCTATTTCTCTCTGTCGCTCTGTCTCTATCTCTGTCTCTCTCTCTCTCTCTCTCTCTCTCTATAAACAAAATAAATCTCTCTCTCTCTCTCCCCAAAAAATCTCTCTCTCCCCCCAATATCCCTCTATCTCTGTTTACCGCTGTATTGTCATCTCAATGTGTTTTTCCCTGTCCCTGTACAGATATGCATCGTTCTCTCTCTCTCTCTCACTCTGTCTCTCCCTCTATCTCTCCCTCTCTCTCTCTCTCTCTCTTTCTCCCTCTCTCGCTCTCTCTCTCTCTCTCCACCTCCCTCCGTAAATGCTTACATGTCTGCACACAAATGCATGTCAGGTTCGCCATATCTACCCGCATATGTATATATGTAAAGTGCATGTGTGTATACATATGTTCATAACTATGTGTGTACAAAACTGTAAATATGTAGATCCCGCCTCCTCGATAAAGGCATGTGTGAGTATAGGCATGCATGTATAGTGAAATCATTTTCTCTACCACGCACCTGTATGTATCGATATGCCGAACGTATGTCGTCTCACGTCTCCCGTCTCTAGAATTAAGAATTCGGAGTAGTTCTCCCCATTCCACCCAAATCCCCTGACAATGTTCGTTCGTTGCGAGGTTTCTTCCGCGTATTGCGTTTTACAAGTGTGTGGTTCCAATCAGAGCCACTGTGTCTTTTGGAGGGTGGTCCCGCCACAGCGTTGGCACCACTTTCGAATCGCAGTGGGGCTTCGGAGCGCTTTCAATCATTCAACATGGCGTTACCGCTGCAGCGTTAACCTCACCTCATGATCGCAGGTGAGCTTCGGAGTGAAAGTAGCCGTTCAAGATGGTGATCCCGCTGCGGCGTTGGCCCAATTTCAGGATATGCGTTTGCTTCCAGAATGGTAATCTAGCCCCAGCGCGCGCAGCAGTTCTAAATCGAAGTAGTTCCTCGTCGGTGCCGCCCCCATCCGTACCCCCTATTCGCCTTCCCCTGGTCATCCTGCTCAGCCTACGAATCCTGCTCCTGCTACTGCTGCTCGTCTTCCCGTTTATCGTCCTCCCTCACCCTCATCCTCTCCCTGCTGCACATCCTCCTGCTCATCCGACACTCCCTCCCTCCTCCTCCTGACCAGCCCCTCCTCCCAACACACCCCTCTCCCCCAATGTACGAAGCCCCCCCCCTGATTGTGCATCACACGATGAACGGGGTAAGTTTGGAGATGAAGTCCTCTAGAATGGATCAGATGGCGGATAGAACAGAGTTCAGCGCAGTGGGAAGAAGCGGGTGGGAGGGGTAGAGTTTCAGATTAGCGAATGCACACCTAGCTTGACCAGTTCCTCTGGGCTATTGCCTCGCTTCCCTCCGTCGCGCCCCCCCAATGTGTATGTGTGTAGCCCGATGAAGAAAATAGGGGCACAAATACACAAAGAAAAACACATGTATGTACAGCAGACGGTGAACACATGCATGTGTGTATATCTGAATACAGGTAGTCCCCCTCTCGATTGTCAATCGTTCTATGCCCCGCCTTCGCCATGTATCCATGCCTCTCAGCGTTACGTACATAGATGCGCATATACATATACACCCACTAAGTATCTCGATCCTTCGCTTGATCCCTTCTCGCACCTCTACTTCATCACCCCATCTCCCCTCCCGTCTCACTTCGCCTATGTGCACTTCTTCTCCGACACCCCTCCTCCCGGGGCACGCGGCGCTGGACGGGTGGGCGATCTCCAGCCGGACGACACCGTTTGGCAAGGTGAAGGGTGGCCCCTGCGCAGCCGCGGCAGGTGCTCGACAGCCGCCAGGGCGAGAGGGGCACGCAGAGATGCCATACACGAACACACGGCAAAGTGCCCGCAACATCATGCAACACGACCACTGTACGACGACATGACCAGCTACAGGCAACATTCCCAGTGTCGCATCACCACTGCACTGAATCGCATCGAGTCAGTTGCACGCCTGGCACGGTGGAGCTCACTGCAGCTCCGCAGATCCCAGAATTCTCTGGTTGACTGCACCGTGGGTGAAACAACTGTCATCAACGTCTTGCAACTGTGCATGACGACGTGTCCTCCCGAACCTCACCGCAACTTTCTCCAGTGCTTCCGCCAGATTGACCCACGCGCGGTTCCACTGGGCACCAGTTTGGGGCTACCTTGGGCAAGCTTCGTTCCATCCCACGAGCAACATATGCACATACTTTACTCGGCGGCCAGCGAGGGGGGGAAGTGAGAAGGGGCGGGCCTTATCGAAAGGCTCGGAAGGTCCACGGCCGTCTGAGAAGTTTTCTAAGCCTTCCCCGAAGACAAAGAAAACTTCTCAGAAGGCGCGACGGTTTCTGGGAAGTCCCGCCGCCTTCTGAGAGGGCCTTCTCCTTCTCACTTCCCCCCCCTCGCTCGCCGCCGATTTACAGAAGGCACGATGCATGTGCCATGATCGACGTCACTTCGACGGCTGACCACCCCCAACCAAGACATCCCCCGAGGGGGGATTCGCAGACTCTCTGTGCAGCCGGCATCGGCATCACAGGTCAGGTGCTGGGCGCCCGCCAGGAGGGGCAGGCCGTGGATGAGGACGCAAGGGTGTCTTGCGAAGGATCCAGGGGCGCTTGAGGAAAACTGATCATATGGATGACGGGCTTCGGAAGTAGTGCAGTCGGACCTGGAACAGAAGAACACCGTTCAAGGACGTGAGACCATCCGCCAGCCAAACCGAAGAACATCCGAGTGCACCCTCCCTCAGGACACACAAGAACACCCAACAAGCACGAAGAACAGCGGAGTACCCTCCCCGAACCGACCTCGATCTGATACCTGGGTCCGACAGTAACATCATCAGGCAGCAACAACTTCAGCAGCAGCGCAGTACAGTCAACCCGTATAGCAAGGATGCGCGATGAGGATACAAGGGCCTTGGACGCCCATTTCGAAGCTTTTCGAGCGGGGCACGGCCAGCGAGAGTGGCGAGGGATGGACCGAGGAGGCGAGGATGCAAGGGTACCCTTACTGGCCATCGCTCGGACGTCCATTCCGTGTGTTTTTTTCGATTTCGCGCGTGGATTTGTCGCAGAATTATCCAGGATGCTCCTGAATAATCCCCGCCGAGAAAAAATGCACACGTCCGAGCGATACAAAGCCTGGGAAGGTTGCTCATCCTAACTATGCGGGTTGACTGTGCATACCAGCCGCAGCAGGCGACGCCGGTCGAAAGCACGACCCTCGAGCAGGCCGGCGCAGGCCATGCGCGAGACTCATCCTTCCTTGAAGGGGCCCTGGGACACACAAAGAAATACACACAGATAACGGGATTCCCCATGTTTTCCCATATTTTCGGTGTTTTTTGTCTTCCCCCCACTTCCCATATTCTCCCATATTTTCTGGGGAATCGACGATTAGTTCTGTCTGTGTGTTTTTGTTCCCCTCCTGAACATCGCCAGAGCAGTGCCTCTGCCAGCACGGCAGGACGGCGCGGCCCCTCGACGCATTCTCGGGGCGCCGGCGAGCAGATCCCGGTGGTGCCTCTGCCAGCACGGCAGGACAGCGAAGTGTCTGGAGAAGCGGAGGAGGAGGAGGAGGAGCAGGAGGAGGAGGAGGAGGAGGAGGAGGAGGAGGTTCCGCTGGCATGCCGCCGCCCTCCGCCGAGGCAGAGAGGGGGTCGGCCCCTCTTCGGTCCTCGAGGGCGGGGCCCTCTCCTCTCAGGGCGTCGGCAAGCAGACTTTCTGGTCAAGAGTGGTGGTGCCTCTGCCAGCACGGCAGGACAGCGGAGTTCCCTGAGAAGTTCCCAGGGCGTCGGCAGGCAGGGTTGAGTTCGAAACTGGCGAACTGGCGAACGGCACATCGCCGATGCATCGGCGATGCGGCGCGATCCTCCGACCCCATCTACTCCGACCCCTAGATAATAAGCGTCGGGGGGGCGTCACCCCCGCCGACAGCCCCGCATCGAACCCCCGTCGCGGGCAGCCACCGCGCGCCGAAGGCGCTCCGACCTCCGTCGCGGCGCGACGACGAGGCGAGGTTGACCCCCGTGGGGGGGTTACGCCCCCACGCTTATCAAGAAACCTGGAGTATGTAAATGATGAGAGCTCCCAGAACTCGATTCGACTCGATCCACCTCCCTCTCCCTCCCTCCCCCCACTGCCCCCCCCTCCCCCACAGAGGTCAGCGCGGATCTCTCCGGCTGGCGCTGGGCCCCCTCCGGGGAGCGCGCCGGGAGGTGCGCCATCGGCGCCGCCAAGGGTATCCAGCGACGCTGGCCCACGAACCCGCGCGGACCTTCGGAAATCCATGCTTATGCTATTCGTCTTCGTCGACACCCCGTGTCCCTTCTCTCCATCCTACCCCCTCCCTCACACGTAGGAGGGCGCGAGAGGAGGGCGCGAGCGCGCGATGTCGACTCAGCGGGGCCGAGGGCAGCGCGGAAGGGCTGGGGCTCTCAGGAGAGACGCGTTGCGAGCAGGCCTCGGGGTCCGAATCGCGGTGCGGGCCGCACGCGCGGGAGCGGGCGGAGCACCTGCTGCGCCCCCCATCGCCTCTCTCACTGCTGGATGCCCGTGTCTCCGCCATCTTCCCTCTCTCCCCGTCAATCTTCCCCCTCCTTCTCGTCCTGCTCCTCCCGCTTCTCCTCCTCCTCCTCCTCCTCCTCCTCCTCCTCCTCCTCCTCCTCCTCCTCCCTCCTCCTCCCTCCTCCTCCCTCCTCCTCCTCCTCCTCCTCCTCCCTCCTCCTCCTCCTCCTCTTCTTCTCCTCCTCCTCCTCCTCCTCCTCCTCATCCTCGACATCCCCCTCCCCCTCCCCCTCCTCCTCCTCCTCCTTCTCCTCATCCTCCTCCTCCTCCCGCTCCTCCTCCTCTCCTCTCCGCCTCCTCCTCCTCCTCCTCCTCCTCCTCTTCCTCCTCCTCCTCCTCTTCCTCCTCCTCCTCCTCCTCCTCCTCCTCATCCTCCTCCGTCTCCTCCCTCCTCCTCCTCCCTCCTCCTCCTCCTCCTCCTCCTCCTCCCTCCCCCCTCCCCCCCCCCTTCTCCTCCTCCTCCTCCTCCTCCTCTCTCCTCCTCCTCCTCCTCATCCTCCTCCTCCCTCCTCCTCCTCCTCCTCCTCCCCTTCTCCTCCTCCTACTACTACTACTCCTCTTACCCCCCCCCCCCCATCATTGGTCCTGATTCGCATGTGCTCCCACTCTGCCACCTATAGCCGCCCCAGAGCGCCGCAATCCGAACCCTTCCGATCGACCCAACAAAAACAATTGCGGGCAGTGTCGTTATCCACATCCAGTGCGTCTTGGAGTTTCGGACACTCTTCCCAAGAAACATGAGGCGCACTGGATATGGATTATAATATGCCTCCAAAAGGCTCAATATTTATCCATATCCAGTGCGCCTCGGCCTTGCGGCGCCCCTTCCAAGAAAGTCCAAGACGCACTGGATATGGATATAAATATTGCCCGCACCAATACGAAGATAACGCGTTCCTTCCAACATCGAGGGTTTCTCGCCGGAGTGGGACTCGGCGCACACCGCGTGCGAAGGAGCGAAATACTGCTCTCGCCCTGACGCTGCGACCAACTGTCCGTCCTAACAAATGAGATCCCGCTTCGGCGAGGCACACGTATTTCAATCGCTAGGCCGTCGGAATTGGGACCGCGCGCGAGAGAGCGAAATGTCGCTCTGGCCAAAGCTCCGCGCAATGTTTGTTCCTGAACGGATACGTTATGTTGGAGCTTGGCCACGCGCTAACGATCGATCCGGGTTCCGTCAAGCCCCATAGTATCCTCCACAATTGCCTTCCCGCTTGCGCGCGGCACACTTTTACGTCGCCAAGTCGTCGGAAGGGAGGCCTTGGTGGAAGAGCGCGCCAGTCCAAATGTCCACTTGTGCCAGCAGGGATGCTTCTGTCATGTGAGACGGTGAGCATGGGCGGGGCCTACTGAATCGCTCGGGCAGGCTAGTTTGACTCCTCCCTCTACTCCCACTCCTAATGCCCTTTCTTCCCCTGCTCCAACCAACTCAACGGGGGAACCGAGAACTGCTGAACTTGCCTCCACTTGCAACGCAGAAAATAAGAGCTGGGAAAACGGCCATAGAATAGGGGGGAATATGCGGGCAGTGGTTACACTGCCAGGCTAGAGACGGAAGACACGTGCAGGGCTTGACGTATGGGAACAACAGGGTGGCAATCTAAATGGTCACGCGCATCCGAGTCAGAGTGAGGGGCCCGAACGGTTATGTCGGTGTTGTTGTTCGCGTTGTTGGTGTTGTTGATGGTGGTGTTGCTCGTGTTGGTGTTGGTGTTGGCTTTGTTGATGTTGCTGTTGTTAATGCTGCTGTTGCTGCTGTTGGTTATGTTGTTGTGGTTGTGGTTGCTGTTGGTGGTGTGGTTGTGGTTGTTAATGCTGCTGACTTTGCTGATGGCGTTGCTGGTGTTGGTGTTGGTGTTGTTGCTGTTGTTGATGATTATGCTGTTGTTATTGTTGGTAGTCGTGGTGTTGTTGCTGCTGATGTTGTTGCTATTATTGTTGTTGCTTTTGTTGGTATTGTTGTTGCTGTTGTTGCTGTTGATGTTTGGTGCCGTCCCACTCACGACCGGGCCCGCGCCCCGCCGGTGACCCACCCCGCGACCCGCCCGCGACCCACCCGCGACCCACCCCGCGATCCACCCGCGACCCACCCAAGCCCCGCCCCGCGACACGCCCGCGACCCCCCCAGCAACACACCCGCGACCCACCCGCGACCCACCCGCGACCCACACGCAACCCACCCGCGACCCTCCCGCGACCCACGACCCACCCGCGACCGACGCCCGCGACCCACCCACATTGCTTTGACGAAAAATCGGCACCTGCGGCGGAGGTGAATTTAGAAAATTTGGCGCCTGCGGCGGGCTTCTTCAGAGCCTCGCAGACTGCCGACGTCCACGCCGCCCCCTGACTCTTATCCGCGACTGCGGGGTGCTACGTGTTTCTCCTCCTCCTCTTCCTCATCATCATCTTCATCGTCGTCATCATAATCATCATCATCATCATCATCATCATCATCATCATCATCATCATCATCATCATCATCATAATAATCATCATCATCATCTTCATCATCATCATAACCACCACCATCATCATCACCATCACCATCACCATCACCATCACCACCATCACCATCATCATCATCATCATCATCATCATCATCATCGTCATCATCATCATCAGCATCAGCATCAGCATCAGCATCATCATCGTCATCGTCATCGTCATCAGCATCATCATCCTCATCACCATCACCAACACCATCATCATCACCACCATGACCATCACCATCATCAGCATCACCACCATCATCATCAGCATCATCAGCATCATCACCAGGTTCAACATCACCACCACCACCACCATCATCATCATCATCATCATCATCATCAGCATCAGCATCATCATCATCGGTACCAGCAGCATCATCATCAGCATCATCAGCAGCAGTATCATCATCATCATCATCATCATCATCATCATCATCATCATCATCATCATCATCATCATCATCATCATCATCATCGCCATCATCATCGTCATCATCATCAGCATCATAGACATAATCAGCATTTATCACCACCAGCATCCTCATCGTCATCATCACCATCATCATCCTCATCATCATCAGCATCAGCTTGATCATCATCGACATCATCAGCATCATCATCAGAAATCATCAGCATCAGCATCAGCATCAGCATCATCATCATCATCATCATCATCATCATCATCATCATCTACAACATCATCATCAGCGGCATCTACATCTACATCTACATCTACATCTACATCTACATCATCTTCATCATCATCATCATCATCATCAACATCATCAGTATCATCTACATCAGCAGCATCAGCATCAGAAGCACCGCATCCTCATCATCATCAGCAGCATCACTATCATAGTCAGCATGATCATCATCATCAGCATCATCATCATAAACAGATTCAACATCATCAGCAGCATCAGCATCGTCAGCAACATCATCATCACCGTCGTCATCATCAGCAGCAGCATCATCACCATCACCATCATCAGCACCACCACCATGATCATCAGCATCAGTATCATCATCATCAGCATCATCAGCATCATCATCACCACCACCATAATCATCACCACCACCATCATCACCACCACCATCATCATCATCACCGGCATCATCATCATCAGCATCAGCATCAGCATCGTCATCATCGTGATCAGCATCGTCATCATCATCGTCATTATCTCAGAATGAACCCAATCATTTGTCTCTGCACGTCAACTCCGGCTTCGGTTCGAGCCGTGATGAACTCCGGGTCGTCTTCGGGCCAGCCCACCCGCATCATTAGCATCATCAGCAGCATCAGCATCAGCATCAGCATCAGCATCAGCATCATCAGCATCAGCATCAGCATCATCATCATGATCATCATCATCATCCTTTTCTCAGGGGGGGGCCAATCATTTTTCTCTGCACGTCAGCTCCGGCTTCGGTTCGAGCCGTGATGAACTTCGGGTCGTCTTCGCCGCGTCGGTTCCCTCCCCCACCCGCCCACCCCTCGTCGTACTCGTCCCGCGCCTCCCCGCTCCCCCCCTCGTCGTACCCGTCCTGCGCCTCCCCTCGTCGTACTCGTCCTGCGCCTCCCCTCGTCGTACCCGTCCTGCGCCTCCTGTGTGGCGGAGAGCCGAGACGGACAGAGCGCGGCTGAGCGCGTGCGGTCGGCGCGCCACGCTCTCCACGATCTCGCCCTCCCGCAGGACGCGGACCTCCGCGGGGAGAGCGCGCGACGGGCGGGCGGCGGAGGGGCTCCCGGATCGGGGCCCCGAGGCGCAGATGGAGGCCGCCCACATGGGCCGCCCAGGTGAGGGCCTCCCACACCGCTTCTCAGAGGGGAGGCCAGGATCGAGGTCTCCCGGGTACCCCTCCGCAGATTAGGCCTGGATGGAGGCCTCGCCAAAGGAGCCAGAGTTGACAGGGGTCGGAGGATCGAAGCACATCGCCGATCGGAAGCGAAACGCCAACTGGTCCTCCTGCAACCTCCTGCAACCTCCTGCCTCCATCTGCCTCAACCGTAATGACAATCCCATGTCGTCCCTCCCGCTCTTCCTCCTCCTCCAACTCCTCCTCCTCTTCCGCCTCCTCCTCCTCCTCCTCCTCCTCCTCCTCCTCTTCCGCCTCCTCCGCCTCCTTCTCTTTTTCCTTGGCCTCCTCCTTCTCCTCCTCCTCCTCCTCCCTCATCCTCCTCCACCTCCTTGTCGCATGAGTCGTTCTCGCCGTTGCCATCACCATCACCATCACCATCACCATCACCATCATCATCATCATCATCATCATCATCATCATCATCATCATCATCATCATCATCATCATCATGATCATGATCATGATCAACATCATCATCATCATCATCATCATCATCATCATCAGCAGCACCAGCATCATCAGCATCATCATCATCATCATCATCATCATCAGCATCATCATCATCATGATTATCATCATCATCAGCAGCATCGTCGTCATCATCATCAGCAGCAACATTATCATCATGATCATGATCATCGTCATCATCATGATCGTCGTCATCATAATAATCAGCATCATCATCATCGTCATCAGCATCAGCATCCGCACCATCAACATCATCAACACCATCAGCATTATCATCGCCATCGTCATCGGAATCGTCATCATCATCAGCATCGTTAGCAGCAGCATCCACATTGTCATCATCATCGGCATCATCATTAGCATCACCATCATCGTCATCGTCGTTGTCATCATCAGAAGCATGAACATGGCCGTCAACTACAATAAAGCCACCATCATCAACAAACCTCGCCATACCCACTGTCATCATGGTTAGAATTACAACCATCATCAGCATCATCATTAACATCGTCATCGGCATCAGCAGCATCAGCATCAGCATCCTCAACAGCACCACCATCAACATCAACAGCATCATCATCATGATCAGCATCAGCATCGTACTCATCACCCTCATCATCACCCACATCAGCATCATCAGCAGCAGCGGCAACAGCAACATCATGATAATCATCATCGTCAGCAGCATCATCAGCATCATATTCATCATCAGTGGTATCATCATGATCATCATCATCATCATCAGCAGCATCATCATCATCAACATCATCATCACTACCATCATCATCCACACCAGCATCATCAGCATCCTCACCAACAGCATCATCAGCATCGTCATCATCACAATCACAGCAGCATACTCATCATCTGCACCATCGTCATCAGCATACGCAGCGTCGCCATCACCGTCAGAATGTATCAGCAGCATCATCAGCATCATCAGCATCGTCTTCAGCAGCATCGTCATCAACATCCCAATCACCGTGGGCATACGCATCGTAATCATCAGACTCATCAGAATCATCATCATCAGCACCATCCTCAGCCTCAGCATCGTGATCATCATCAGCATCATCAGCATCGCCATCCTCATCATCATCATCATCATCATCATCATCGTCATCATCATCATCATCATCATCATCATGATCGGAATGATCATCATAATCATCAGCATCAACATCAACATCATCATCATCATCGGTGGGCGGCGGCTGCATCACCGCCACCATCAGGACAAGCATCATCAGCAGAACCGTCAGCTTCGGCAGCAGCAGCATCGTCATCATCATCATCAGCAGCATCATCATCACCATCATCAGCATCACCATGATAGTCATCATCCTCATCGTGGTCGTCATCATCGTCATCATCGTCATCATCAGCATCCTCATCAACATCAGCATCGTCATCATCATGACCATCACCAGCACCACCACCGTCAGCAGCATCATCATCATGGTCATCGTCATCTTCATCGTCTGCATCATCATCGGTAGCATCAGCATCAGCCTCAGCATCAGCATCAACATCATCATCATCACCACTACGTCAAAGTCGCCATGACGCACATCCTGTCTACCCTGCTCTCACTCCCACTCCCACACCCCCCCCACATGCTCCTGCGCCTGCAGCCGTGCATCGTCATGATTTAATCTTCTCCCCATGGTCGTGCTCGACTTCGCGATCCTGCTCGCGCTCCTGCTCTGCGCTCTTGCCGAGCTCATCCCAGCTCGCTCGCGCAAGAAGGGCCGTGGGCCGTGGCCCTTCGCCACCCGAATAACCGACGCCGTGGTCCGCTAGAAGCGCGCCAGAGTGCCGATGCAGAGACCGCGGTGGCGGTCTCGCCTCCTCCCCGTCTCCCGCCTCTCAGCTGTTCTCCCCTCCCTCGGCCTCCTCCTGCGGGCACTCCTCCTGCCCCTTCTCCCACTCCCTGATCCTCCCTCCCGTCCCCACCCCACCCCATCACCTGCCCCCCCCCGCGTCCTGCCAAAATCCTGTCCCCGTCCCGCGTCGCTCCACCTCCGCCTGCGCTGCCCTCCCCCCCCCCTCTGCCGCACTCCCTCCTGCCCGCCTTTCCCCTCTGCGCCACCCTCCCCCCCATGTTGACCCCTCCTCCCGCGAAAATCCTCCCACCCCCCTCGCCCCTCCTGCCCCTCCAGCGCGTCCCTCCTCCTCCTCCTCCTCCTCCTCCTCCTCCTCCTCCTCCTCCTCCTCCTTCTCCTCCCAGGAGGCGGCCAGGACCGGCTCGGGACCCCCGGGAAGCGCGCGGCCGCCGCCGCTCGCAGAGGAGGCGCGGCGCGTGCGGGGCCTCGGAGCTGTCCAGGTGCTCCGTGGAGCCCACGGCCTGCCCGCGGCGGCGGCGCCCGCGGCAAGATCGCGCAGCATCCTGGGAACGTCACGGCCCAAATCTCCGCTGAGGCCTCTGGGCACCATGTGGAGAGCAGAAAACCCACCCTCCTGTTCAGCAGCCCGACCAGCGAAGCCACTCAGGAAGCGCGCCCAAGAGAAGAACTGAGCAAGGCAGGGCTGACCCGTAAACTCCCAGGGCCGTGTCTTGGCGGCGCGCACAGGGGGGTAGCGAGAGGGGGTGAAGGCTTCTGAGAAGCACCCCTGCTTCTCAGAATGCGCCGGCCCTACATCTACAGACAGGGCCCGCGCCTCCTAAGAAGCAAGGGTGCTTCTAAGAAGCCTCCCCCCTCCCGCTAGCTAACCCCCTCTGCGCGTGGCCGAGTGTCGCTAACGCCAATTATCGGTATCGGGGTAGTTTTTCCTCATTTGACGATGTCCGATGCGGCATGCGGCACATATGGCACAAGACACCTGACAGACACAGGCTGTAGGAAGGAAGGCTGCGGGGGATCTCTCTCTCTCTCTCTCTCTCCAAAAAGCCTCCTCCTCCTCGGGCCCCGAGAGCCTCACGGATGGTTCCGACACGCTGTGCAGCTTGGGGAACCATCGCAAATCCTGGAGACCTGAACCCAAGCTGATCCTGGCTCAACAACTGCACCAATCCACAGATCCCAGAAGTTTGACACTAGAAAGCATTGGCCCCATCCTTTGCGGTGTTGCCCATGTGCTTCCCCCATACGGTGATTGCACTGAGGGGCTCTCGCTTGTGTTGTAAGAAACTGGGCACCCGCCCGTTCCAAATGTTCGGCTGGGTGCCGCCCCGTGACCTCCACTGCATTGCTCTGCAGTGCTCTGCGTTGCGCTGTATTGGCTTGTAGTGCACCGCACAAGTTGTGCAATTTCACTGCTTGGGATCCACGCTGAGATCATTTCTGGTGAACCAGGGTCACTGCACTTTCTCTGAAACGTGTTCCAAACGAAATCTTGCGAATGCTGATTGCACTGCCGTCCATGTGTCCGCCAGTCGATACATTATCCCAACAGTGGCCTGTCGTCCTTCTTAACACGCACCCTCGACTGATAGGAATCATATGATCTCAACCCATAAGCACACAGGTGTCAGCACCAGGCGGGCATCACTTTCGTGCACCAGCCGAAAAAAAAGCGCCGAAATTCTGTGCACGGATGTGCACACATACGTAATATCGTGGCATCTGCTCGAAGGGCACGAGTGCTCGAGCAGGTGGGAGAGCCTGGAGCCGTCGAGGGCAGTGGGGGAACGTGAGAGGTCAAAGGGCCTGGAAAAGTGAAAGGGAACGAACATTGCAGAGAGAAGGGTGTCATGCCTGCTCTTGCTCCTCCTCCTGATACTCCTCCTGCTGCTCCTCCTCCTCCTCCTCAAGCTTCCTCCACTTCCGGATACACCACCTGCTCCTGCTCCTCCTCCTGATGCTCCTCCTGCTCCTCAACCTCGTCCTCCCTATCCCTCTCCCCCCTCCTCAATACCTCTTCCCTCCTCCTCGCGTCCCCTCCCCCCTCCCCTGTGATCCCCCCTCCCTCTCGGAGGGGACTCCCACACGCCCAGGGCGCCCCACCCGAGACCTGACCCAGACCAGGCTCTCTCGCGAAGGCCCCGGTCTCTTCCACCGCCCAGCCGCCCAGTGTGACGAAAAGGGAGGGGGGAGAGGCGGAGAGGAGGCAGAGGAAGGCAGAGGAAGGCAGAGGACACCCCCCCAGACATCCGACACGTCTCGACTTTTTCGAGGCACGGGCCCCCGACCTCCCGACCGCTTCTCCGAGACCGGTTGCCCTCCCGAGTCGTTCCTTGATGGCCCCGAGGGGCCAGGCGAGGGCCCCGAGAGGCCCAGGACAGCGACATGCCTCCGTCTCGATGTCTTGTCGAGGCGCCCGATGCCTGGGCCGCCGCCTCCCTGCCCCCCCCCCGCCCCTCTCCGCCAGTCTTGAGTCGTGCCTGTCCCCCTACAGGGAGATTTGCGACGAACAATTAAAAAATACCCCAAAAATAATAGAAAAATAGTCCAAAAATAGTCTGGGGGCTATTTTCTAAAAATTGGTTGGTCTTCTTGGACCATTTTTGGGGGTATTTCTTATTTTTCGTTGAAAATCCCCCTGTAGGGGGACACGCCCGACATAACGCCACTCCGTGGCGGTGCGCTCCTGCTGCAAGCGTCTGCGAGGGCGGCCCCGGACAGGCGCGCACGCGTCCCCCACCCGCCGTCGCCCGCCGTCGCGCCCTGAGCCGCGCGGATGTGGGGAGCCCTGCCGCCCGCGACCCCACGGGGGGGGCCGGGGACGTGATGAAATTAGGGGCCACATGCGAACCCTCCCCCTCAGAAATCGTGGGGGGTAGGGGCAGGGTTCGCATGTGGCCCCCTCGAACTACGAAGGGGCGCCATGAAGTCTGAGGAACCGTCATGGCCCACGCCGTGATATCCCCCCCCGAGTCATCCCCCCCCCATCTCTGCCGCCCCCGAGAGAGCTCAATGGTGGTGCAGGGCGGCAGGCTCGACGCCACCGCGTCCCAACGGGGGTGCCGGGCGCCGCGACGGTGACTGCGAGGACGCCGACGACCACGCTGCGCGGAGCCATACGCCCAGGCGCGCAGGCGAAAGGAGGCTGGGACGCCAGGGCACCGGGCAGCGCGTGCCGTGTGCATAAAAAAGGATCAGTGATGACGATGCGCAGCGTGCATGCGCATGCGACGTAAATGATGACGACGACGGTGGTGTTGGTCAGGGCTCTGGCCTCAGCGCGCAGCGTACAGTCGGGCCCCCAAGAGGAAGCAAGCGCGCAGCGATGTGTGAACGGCGCATTGGCCCATACTGGAGCAATGCTGCAGCACTCATGCTAGGCAGTCCTGGCCAGCCACGCGCCTGACGACGAGGACGACGACGACAAATGATGATGATGGTGGTGGTGGTGGTGATGGTGATGATGATGATGATGATGATGGTGACGGTGATGGTGATGACAAGAATCATCACGATCATGATGACGACGATCGTGATGATGACAATTATGACGACAGGAATGATGGCGAAGATGATATGCTAACGACGATGACAATGGCGGTGATGACGATGATGGTGGTGATGCTGATGACGATGATGACGACAACGGTGATGATGATGATGATAAAGATGACTTTGTTGATAATAGTGACGATGATGATCATGCTGATGATCATGATGATGATGGTGGTGATGGTGATGGTGATGGTGATGGTGATGGTGATGGTGATGGTGATGGTGATGATGCTGATGATGATGATGATGATGATGATGATGATGATGATGATGATGATGATCACATCCTCCGATCAAACTCCTCGCGTGCTGTCTTCCCGCACATCGGCTCCCCCTTGTCGCCACCTCATCGATGCGTCCTCGCCAGGCGCTCCCTCCCTGACCCCCTGGAGAGGGAAGAGAGGTCCCATCCCTCGGCAGGCGGCAACGGGGCGGGAAGGCGCCAGGCACTCTGAGACCACGCGCCACTTCTGCGGCACGAAGTTCTCGGTCGCGGGCGGGGGCCGGGCGCAGCATCGCAAGATGATGACTCGGGAGCGGAAATGCGTGTCAACGGAAGCGCACATCAAGAAACGAAAACTCGCTGCAGGACCACGCCACGCCCACCTCATGAAAGAAGCACCATATGCCGACAACGAGCGCTTGGCACACGAAACAGACGACCCGACGACCGCATCCAATAATATTCCCCAGGGAGGCACCCCCCACCCACCCAACCGAGAAGTTTTCACCACTCGGGGGTGGATGTGCGCATGACATTGCGCCGATCCCCTGGGCCACCCAAGGAAATGCAGGAACGCAGCGACGGCGGCACGCCCAGCAGCGCCCAGGGAAGGCGAGGTCCCTCTGGGCCTGCGCGGGTTGCCATTCCGCTGGGTCCCCCAGGGGAGCAAGAACGCGGCGACTCTTGCACCTCTGGGAGGAGGGCCAGGAAGAGGAGGAGGAGGAGGAGGAGCGAGGCGAGGCGAGGCGAGGCGAGGCGAGGCGAGGCGAGGCGAGGCGAGGCGAGGCGAGGCGAGGCGAGGCGAGGCGAGGCGAGGCGAGGCGAGGCGAGCGCGCGAGTTCGGTCCGGCCGGACCGGCCCTCATAGGGAGGCGCGGGGGGCCGGAGCCCTCAGGAAACGTGTCGGGGGCAGGAGTCGGAGCCGGAGCCGGAGTCGGAGAGATGGATGGGAACCGGAGTCGGAGAGGTGTGAAACGATCAGAGTGGGCAGAACACGTAACGCTGGAGTCGGGAAAGCATTCCAGATCCTATAGGTTGTAGTGGGCGTAGGCGTATTGTATAAAATCATACTCTAGTAGGAGGAGGAGGAGGAAGGAGGAGGGAGGAGGAGGAGGAGGAGGTGGATGATGATGATGATGATGATGATGATGATGATGAGGAGGAGGAGGAGGAGGAGGGAGGAGGAGGAGGAGGAGGAGGAGGAGGAGGAGGAGGGTGGAGGAGGGAGGAGGAGGAGGAGGAGGAGGAGGAGGAGGAGGAGGGAGGAGGGAGGAGGGAAGGCGAGGTCCCGCTGGGTCTGCACGGGTCACCGTCGGGGGCGCCAGAAGAACCCCGTGGCATCTTCACGCTCGGCAGGGCCCAGGGCGGGCGAGGTCCGTCCAGGTCTGCGTGGGTCACCGCTCCGCGGGACCCCCCAGGCAGAGCTGGACCTCAACGTTGCTTTTCGCTGTGTTTCGTTCTGTGCTTCGTGTTGCTCGACCGATGCTCCTGTACCTCCCTCCCCAAACCGAAAAATGATACCGGAGAAAAAAAACAATCAGGGCTATAGGGCTAATTAGGGGGCTATAGGGCTATAGGGCTATTGGCCTTTAGGGCTATAGAGCTATAGGGCTATAGAATTGTAGGGCTATAGGGCTATTGGGCTATTGGGCTATTGGGCTATAGGGCTATAGGGCTATAGGGCACCCCCGGGCAACCCCGGGCACCCCCGGGTACCCCTGGGCACGCCCGGGCACCCGGGCACCCTGGCACCCGGGCACCCCCGGGCACCCCCCGGGCACCCGGGCCCCGGGCACCCCGGGGGACCCGGGCACCCGGGTGTACAGCGAAAATCGGCGACAAACCTAACCTAACCATATGAATCCGCTAGGACCCCTACAGAGGCAAGCTCTGATTGGGGAACAAAGCACAGCCGAAGTCCAGCAAAACAGCGTTCAGGTCCAGCCCTACCCCTCCAGGGACGCAGCAGCGCGGCGGCTGCTGCAAGGTTGGTGGCAGCGATGTTGTTCTTGGGGGTCTGCATGGGTCACCACCCCGCTGACCTCCCCACTGGCCATCGCTCCGACGTCCACTCCCTGTGCTTTTGTTCGGCTTCGTGCGTGGTTTTCTCGCAAGATGGTCCAGGATGCTCCTTCATGATCCCCGCCGAGAAAAAAAGTGCACGCGCCCGAGCGACACCGAGCCCGAGGAGGCGGGAAGGCGGCGGCAGGTGCAGGCCCCGTCGATTGTCCAAGCGACCTCTGCGAGAGAGATGAGTAGGATTGGGTCGGGCATGTCTGAAGGGGCCCCAGGACACACAAATCAATACACACAAATAAAAAAAAGTCCCCATAGTTTCCAATATGTTCTGGGTTTCTGCCTTCCCCCCCACTTCCCATATTTTCCCATATTTTCTGAGGAATCGAAAATTAATTGTGTCTGTGTGTTTGTTCCTCTCCTGAATGTCCTCCTACTGGCGGATTTTGAAGAAAATGAAAAAGTAGACCACAATCAAGAAAAACCGTGACCAGGCTATGTTCTACTCTTCTCGAATACTCCTCCTCTAGGGGGCACGCACGACTGAACAGCAAAACCATCGTGCCCAGGACTGCCCAAGAACGCGCGGGGGGGCCCACGGGGGAGAGCTGTCGTTCACTCGTGTGGGGGGTTTCGCCGGGAAACGTATGTTGCCGACCTCTCCGCGGGGGGGCCAGGCAGAACCGTCGCATCCGAGTCAGCCCGAGCCTCCTCAGGTCTGCGGGGACCTCACGGGAATCAGGCTGAAGGCATGACATCAGAACCATGTGGGACCATGGCTCGGGTGTTGCTAGAAGTGCCCCTGGCCCAAGGTGCCCCCAACTTGTCGCTCCATTTTGGAGCCCCTGGGGCCCTCTGGACCTCGTGAGGGGTGCTCTACAGGCCGTTTGGGCTACTCCGAGAATCCTGGGGGCACCTTGGCCTGGGGGGCATTTCTAGCAACACCCGAATGGTAGAATACGGTGAGGGCATTGGATAAGGAACTCTTAGATAAATCATCCAGGGACTGAAAGACGGTAGAACCCCAATTGAGACTGGGCCACGGGTACCACCGCCGCCCTCATCAGCTGAGGAATCCTCCAGGGTCTGAAGCATCCTGGACACATTCCTGAACCAACGCCCCCACGGTATTCTGGATTGTGGCTGCTTTATCGTGGCTGGGTTCGCACGGTTGCGGGGTTTTGTCATCGGCGTAGTGGGGCGCCCAAAGCTGACAACCATGGCTGGTGTCCATGGCTGCGAAAGCATGAGAACAAGAGGAGGCGTCGAAAAAATGCGTTGCCAATAAGAGAGGGTCGCTCAGCGGTAGGCGCCGGTTCTGATAGACATACGGCCGCAGCCCCTGGACGTTACCAACCCTTCGAAGTCGGTAAACCACGACACGCATTTGGTTCGCAACATGGACACGAAGGGTGACCAGCGTTTGTTACTGATATGGTGCTGCTGGCGCAGAACAATGCGTCGTAGCAAGTACATAAGGCAAAGCTGCGTTGTTCCTCTCCACTCGGCTCTACTATTTCCCTCCGCCCTACAGACCTGATTACACACGCTCGCAGACTTACGTCATGCTTAATGTGCTCGGCGACATGCAGGTGGCTCTGCAAATGGACCACGCCTCCTGCTCGTGCTGCTCGTCCCCTAAACACGATACTGATAGCCTCGGCACCCTCTGCACATGGACGCCTTGGGCCGGGGCGGTGCCGATGCTGGACGTGGCGTCGCCGCATAAGCAGAAAATGGAGGTTGCGGTGACAGCGCCTGAGCCCACCAAGCCAGCAACAAAGGTGGAACAGCAAAGTACATCAAATGACTGGGAAGAGCAGAATTGATGTTAGAATGGCTCGAAGATTGCTCACGAATTGGGCGGCGGTGCCGTGCACCATTCCATCAACCCAGCACCAGTTCCTGGCTTATGCTGCAATATGAGATCCCTCGAAAACAACCACTACCGCGGCGCGCCCGCCCTGTAATCGCGAATCCAGGCTAACAGGGAGTCGCGAAAACTGAACACGCTTTCTGGCTCCTGCAAGAGATCCACAGAAAAAAGCCTCATGAAGTTCTCAAGAGGTGATTTGCTATGTTTTCGAGTGGGAGGATCTGCAGTCACGGGGCCCAAGATCGGCTCAAGAGGCCCCGCAGACCCTTGTACAAAGCCCCAAAGGGGATCCAAGAGGGGGCCAAATCTTCCAGATAAGGCACCAACATGGCGCCATGCAATAGATTTGCGAAGAAGCCCCTCCTCTCCTATTCCCCCTCCTTCTCCTTCCCGTCGTGTTCCTCCTCCTCTTCCTCCTCCTCCTCCTGCTCCTCCTCCTCATCATCATCATCCTCGTGCTCCTCCTCCTCCTGCTCCTCCTCCTCCTCCTCCTCCTCCTCCTCCTCATCATCAGCATCATCATCAGCATCATCATCATCGTCATCATCATCAGCAGCATCATCAGCATCATCAGCATCATCAGCATCATCAGCATCATCAGCATCATCAGCATCATCAGCATCATCACCATCATCAGCATCATCACCATCATCATCATCAGCATCATCATCAGCATCATCAGTATCATCATGATCATCATGATCATCATCATCATCATCATCATCATCATCATCATCATCATCATCATCATCATCATCATCATCATCATCATCATCATCATCATCATCATCATAGTCCACCTCCTCCCCCTCCTGTTCCTCCTTCCTGCTCCTACTCGTGCTCCTGCTCCTCCTCCTCCTCCTCCTCCTCCTCCTCCTCCTCCTTCTCCACCTGCTCCTCCTCCTCCTCCTCCTCCTCCTCCGCCTCCTCCCCCTCCTCCTCATTCTCCTCCTCCTCTTTTCAAACTCTGTCCAGGAGGCCTGCACGAGGCTCGTAAGGCAACTCGCGTGGGCTTCATGTGTGTGGATGGCCTGGTGCGGATACCCGAAGCGCCAAGACTTCCAGCACACTCAATCTATCCTGACGTGCTTGGCCCGGGCGGACCCGGTGCGTCCCATCCCAGACACGGCACGTCTGACGTGCCAGAACCCGCTGCGACCCGCCTTCGGTTTCACGCTGCACAGAACCAACGTGGAGCGACACCCTGTGCCCTGCAGAAGGGCCCTTCTTGCGGACGCTGGGTGCGCAACGGGGCGTCGCTCTCAAGGCCACGACGACGAAGAGCTAGACTCGCCACTGTCAGCCCAGCCATGTCCAGGCCATAGTGTCGGGAGCGGCCAAGAGGGGGGTGTCGAAGAGGGGGGGTGCAAATCATGACCGGCGGCATGTGCGCGGCCCCGCGGGGGGGCCAGGGACGCAATGAAACAAGAAGAGGCGCCATGAAACCTGGGGAAACATCATGGCCCCCGCCATGATATCCTTCCCCCCCCTAGTCATCACCCCCCTCTTTGCCGCCCCCGAGAGTGGCGAGCCCGTGGCCTCGCGAGCACGTGAGGGGTCCTTCGCCTCGCCCGCCCCTGGGCCCTGGCACGGGCGGGCTGCCGCGCCGCCCCCTGGCGCGGCAGAGGCCCCCTGCGGACGCGCTGGCCCACCCAGCCGAAGCCCGCCCTCCACGCCCCTCCCCGCGGCGTCGCCGAGGGCGCCCGCGCGGCCCCTGCAAGCCGAGCTGAAAAGTCGTTGTTTGTTCTGTCCCCCTCTCTTGAGGAGGCAAACTCTACACACCGACGCGTTTTTTTGCCCCGCATTGGCGTTCGCACAGGAAAGCGGATCCTGGTGTATCCGGGATCCTGGTGTATACATTTTGCGTTGTTTCCCTGGGAAGACAGGGACCCCGACGTCGCCCCCAACCCTAAAAAAAAATCCTGGGACTGAAACAGAGCCCCCCGCCTCAGGTAATGTGTACGTTCCAGGTTCCGATCTCTCTCTCTCTCTCTCTCTCTTCCTGCCCGCCCACACCCCCCCCGCGGCACCGCAGCGGGCGGGGCCGCCGCGGGCGCGGGCGCGGCGGGGGCCGCGGGGGGCCGCGGCCGAGGCGGCGGGGGCGCAGCGCCGCCGACGCCCTGCAGCGAGGCGGGCCCTCCTCCTCCTCACTCTCCCCCTTCTCCTCTGTCTCCTCTGTCTCCTCCTCCTGCTCCTCCTCCTCCTCCTCCTCCTCCGCCTCCTCCTCCTCCTCCTCCTCCTCCCCCTCCTGCTCCTCCTCCTCCTCCTCTTCCTCCTCCTCCTCCTCCTCCTCCTCCTCCTCCTCTTGGACGGCTCAGGACTGCACACCGGCCGACTGAAGCACCCGGAGCCCCCTCCGGCAGCACCAGGGGCCGACCTTACCGCACCCGTAGACCGGGGCGCCGACTCCACGTGTCTCACGGCGGCCGCCGTGGACGCCATTAGCGCGCCGCCAGGGTCCGGTACAGCACGGACGACAGCGCGCAGGACACGGCGAAAACAAGAACTCCACCATGCCCTTTAGGGCGCAGGTGGTCTGGGGAGTTTCCTATTCCACCCCCCTTCTCTTCCCTTTAGGGAAGGGGTTTATCACTAGTCCCTACTAGTGTACACCCCCTCCCCCACCCGACCAGCGGCCAACCCAGAACCATGCCAACCCCATGAGGGCCACCCCCCCACCATCCCTAAAAAAACAATACAAAATGCACTCGACCTCCACAGTTGGAGCATGCGCGACGCCCGGCGACCATTTTGTTTTGGTATTTTACAGGGACGGCTGGGGTGCCAGCAGATCCCACCTGCCTTCTGGGAACAGGTGGTCGACCGACTGGTTTGATACATCAGTAGTTGCTCGTTGGGAACCTCCTGTGGCCCTCTTGAGGCTCTCTTGGGAACCTCTTGGGGCCCTCAGGGGCATCTCTTGGGCCGTCTTGGGGCTCTCTTGGGCCGTCTTGGAGACCTCTGGGGCCTTCTTGGAGCCCCCCCGGGCCGTATTAGGGCCGCACCCCAGCCGCATTGGGGGCATCTTGTGCCGTCTTGAGGCGATATTGCAGGCCTCTTGGGCCGTCGTGGAAACTTTCAGACCGAAGAAACGGATGTGCTGAAATTGTATGTGGGCGTCCTTTTGGAGGCGTCGTGCATTGAAAACCTCTTTTGCCATCTCAAGAAAGATCAAAGCCGGGCCCAAGAGTCCCTGTGGGTTCCCAGTGGCTGGCGCACCTGGCGCGGTTGGAGCACAAGGAAGCCTGGGCGCACGTGGAGCACGTGCCGCACCTGGCGCGCCTGGCACGCTTGGGCCTCCAGGGTCTGGAGCATCTGGAACCCGTGGCGTCTGCGGCGTTCTTACGCGATATGCTGGCTCCCAGATGTTACGTATGTAATTAGGGAGCCCACAATGGACGTACGCGCCCAGCTATGTACATGAACACGGCCCCTCGATTCGCGAGACCGGCCGCGTTATACGAACATTTGTGCAATGCGTGCTCTCGAAACAAGCGTGGATTCATGTACATGTACGTCCTTCTTTCGCTCCTGAGTAATGGGAGGGCGGGTGGGAGTGAGCAAGACGGCTTGCGGGCAAGTGTGGAGCTTGACCCCTCCCCCTCCCCCCTCCCCTGGACCTGGACGGGGCGCCCCGCGACGCGTTCGACGCGCTGGAGCGCACAAAGTGACCCAAAACGGCTCCAAGAGGGCCGAAGAGAGCCCAAGATGACCTCCAAGATGGCTCAAGATAGCCCGAGATCAAGATGCTCCAAGGAGGCCCCAAAGCCGCCCCAAGACGGCTCCAAGAGGCCTCCGAGGCGTCCAAGGAGGCTCCCAAAAAGCCAAACTCATTCAAAAACATCCGGAAGTCTATGAGTTGTGCTTTCTCGCCTGTTTGCTTCCGAAGGCCTTCCGAGGCCTCAAAATGGCTCCAAGATGATCCAAGAGGGCTCCAAGAGAGGCCCAAGAGAGCCCCAAGACGGCCCCAAGAGCGTCCAAAAGCGCTCCAAGAGCGCCCCAAGAGGGCCCCAAGAGGCGTGTAGGCCCTCTAGAGGGGCGACGCTAATCAAGTACCCCCCTTGATTGATCGATGTCTTCCAAGATGGCCCCAAGAGGTACCCAGGAAGCCCCAAGAGGCCTCAAGACGGCTCCAAGAGGCCCCCAAGACGACCCCAAGCGGCCCCAAGAGGCCCCCCAGAGGCACCCAAGACGCCCAACAGCCCCCTGGACCGCCAAGGGACCCCCAAGACGCCCCATGAGAGCTCAAAGAGGCGCCCAAGAGACATGCCAAGAGACTCCGAGAGACGTCCAAGAGGCCCCTGGCCCTTTTGCTCGCCCTCCTCCTCATTCCTTTTCCTTCTCCTTCTCCTTCTCCTCATCATATTCATCATCCTTCTGCATCCTCCCCCATCCATCCGTCCATCCATCCTCCTCCTCCTTCGAACGGTTCGGCTGTCCCCCTATTTGCTTCTGGCCTTCCCTGATCATCTCAACTGGCTGGCTGGGCTGGTGGGATACGCGAAACGTCAACAATCTGCGCGTCTACAAAATTCCTACCGTACTTCTAGAAGGGGACACCCGAAAGGAGACCAAATTAACCGACATTCGAACAGAAACTTTTAGCGGCTAGGAAACAGCTGCCACATGATTTACCAAAGACGACTCGAACAGCTTCTTTGTTGAATGCGGAAACGCTTGTAAAGAAACCCCTTACGGGCCCGATGCGGTCTTTGCGAGAACTCTCTGCCACACAAGAGATGGCGAGAGAAAGAGAGAGAGAGAGAGAGAGAAAACACACAAAAAACGTCCCGCCAGGCCCCGCAGACATAATCTTTCCCGATGTACGGGCGAAGGGTACCACATTCAGGTTCCATGAGCACCGTTTCCGCGACCAACCTGCACAGAACGTTGGCATCACACCACATATTGAACACTCAAAAGCAGCAGCGGGTTTCTCCGGCGTGCTCAGCCGAAGTGAGCTTGACTGATGCTACAACATACAGAACTACTCCGATGCATCCAGGACGACCAAACAAAATGTGGGTATGTTCAAAACGATGCCTTTCCGGTGGTTGCGCAACGTTTGTCAAAACATGGACGACGCAGATCAAGACAACCAAACCGACGACCAAAATCGAGGAGCACCCCCCACACACACACACACACACACACACACACACACACACACACACACACACACACGCGCACACACTCCTCCAGCGTTAGGTCGGGCGTGTCCCCCTACAGGCGGATTCTGGACGAAAACTGAAAAATACCCCCAAGGTACTCCAAACCTATTCCTCCTGTAGAAGGACACGCCCGCCTTAACTCCAGCGGCGAGGTGACGGCACCGCCGCGAAGTGCCAAGCCGGGCCACGCTCAGGCGAACCTCCACGTGGCGCAGCAGCTGGGTGGACGGGGCGTGGCAGTCGCACGCAAGAGAGTTCCGAGGCGCGCGTGCACGTTAGGGGACCACATGCGAACCCTATCCCTACCCCCCACGATTTCTGAGGGGGAGGGTGGGGTTCACTTCGCTCGGGAGCTCCCGAACGGAGTGAACCCCACCCTCCCCCTCAGAAATCGTGGGGGGTACGGGTAGGGTTCGCATGTGGCCCCCTACACGTGGCAGATGTCAAAACGCACATGCAGTGAAAGAGCAGGTCTGGCCAACGGCCGGCCGGTATCGGGGCAGAAGGGCGCGCGACAAGAGGAAGATGCCGCAGCACGTGGGCGCGGCTTGTACAGGAACGGACGTGGCAGAGGTAGCAGCGCCAGTCGCCAATCGCCAACAGCGCCTCGGCTGAAGACGACAGAGAAGAGGTGCGCGGAAGCCGGAGGTGTGCCGGGGGCGCCCGAAGAGGCGATCACACATACGTCATGTCGCGAGCATTCGGGGAATCGGTTTACGATGGGCGCGTGTTTGGCGCGTCTCGTCATGTCGCCCCCCTCCCCGTGGTTGTTGGCTTGCGCCAGTCCGCGGCCATGGCTCCTCCTCGCCTGGTGGTGCTGCTTCTCCGCTTTGCTCATCACTCCTCTCTCCCTCGCTCCTCGCTTCTGTTCGGCTTGCCCCACCTCAGGGCTGCGAGGTTGCGGGCGGTGCTCGGCATCTGGCCAGGGCGAACACAAACAACGACGAGGTCCACGGCCACCTCTGAGAGGCGGCTGCGCCTGAGGCCCACCCGCGCCCGACCCGTTTCCCGCTTCACTTCGGGGCGACGGGGTCCTCCCTCGCCGACGCCACCGCATGACGTGGGCAGTCCCACCTCGCGCGTCTGGCGGGCAGGACTTCTGCAACGCGGTGGGCTCTGCATCCACATCCCTCGCAGGGGTCCAGAGAGCTGCCAGAAGCCACTGCAGTACGACATGCCAACGCCTGATCCTGATGATGGTGATCCTCGTCATGCGCACTCTCATCTGTATCCCCCCTCCTCCTCCTCCTCCTCCTCCTCCTCCTCCTCCTCCTCTTCCTCCTCCTCCTCCTCCTCCTCCTCCGCCTCATCCTCCTCCTCCTCCTCATCATCATCAGCATCATCATCATCAGCATCAACATCAGCATCCTCAGTACCATCATCAGCATCATCATCAGCATCAGCATCATCAGTACCATCATCATCATCATCATCATCATCATCATCATCATCATCATCATCATCATCATCATCGTCATCATCATCATCATCATCATCATCATCAGTACCATCATCATCATCAGCATCATCATCATCATCAGCATCATCAGCATCGTCATTCTCATCAGCATCATCATGATCATCAGCATCATCAGCAGCAGCACCATCATCACCACCACCATCATCATCATCAGCAGCATCATCATCATCATCATCATCATCATCATCATCAGCATCATCACCACCACCAACAACAACACCGTCATCATCATCATCATCATCATCATCATCATCATCATCATCATCATCATCATCATCATCATCATCATCATCATCAGCATCAGCATCAGCATCAGCATCAGCATCAGCATCAGCATCAGCATCAGCATCAGCATCAGCATCAGCATCAGCATCATCATCATCATCATCATCATCATCATCATCATCATCATCATCATCATCATCATCATCATCATCATCATCATCATCATCATCATCATCCCGTACCCTCGTCCTCCTCCTCCTCCTCCTCCTCCTCCTCACCCCCCCTCTCTCCTACTCTTGGCTCCTCCGAGCCTCCAGTGACCCCTCCCCCCCCCAGGTGGCAGCATCCCCGGGCGAAAGAAGCCCGTGATTTGCGATGGCGTAGGGTTTCGGGCACTTTCTCAGCGAGGCTACGCCCTGGGTAGAGGAGTCCAGGGCAGCCCAACTCCAGCACTCTGTTGAACACCTCTGTGCGCGCTCTCTCCCTCCCTCCCCCTTCCCATCCCTCCCCCTTCCCCCCCTCTCCCTCCCCCTTGCCCCTTCCCCTGCCCCTGCCCCTCCCCCCCCCCCCCTCCCCCCCTCCCCCCTTCCCCCCCCCCCCCTCCCCCCTCTCTCCCTCCCCCCTTCCCCCCTGCCTGCCCCCCCCCTCCCCCCCTCCGCGGCAGCATCCCCATCGCCATCCTCGTCATCAGCATCGCCCTCCTCCTGCAGCGCGGCGGCGCGGGCCTCGACGCGGCTGGCGCTGAGCGGCGCGGCGCGGCTGCGCCCCGGGGGCGGCCCGGCGGCCTTCCGCGCGGGGCGACGGGGGCCCCGTGACGGCGGCGGCTCGTCGTCGTGGGCGCTGCCATCGCGACGCCTCCCTGCAGCGACGGAAATGCAGGCGCGGCAGTGGATGGGCGGCGCGCACAAGGGGGTTGGGGGGAGGGGGGAAGGCTCCTCAGAAGGAGGCTTCCCAGATTCCTGAAGGCGCCGGCCTCAGATCCATAGTGGAGGCCCCCGCCTTTTGAAGGAGCAGGTGTGCTTCTTAGAAGCCTTGCCCCCTCCCCCTACCCCCTCTGCGCGCGGCAGTAGAGTTTCCCTTGAACGCGACACTGGCAACTCCGCAGACCTTTGGCGACAGCCGAGCGTCTAATCAGCAGCTGGCGCTAACATCTCGATATGTAACACTGTGCAGGCGGCGCGCAATGCCTGCGCCTGACAGGTGGCCCACGGTCATCGCGGCCACCACCATCATCGACATCGCCGTCATCGTCATCGCCATCGTCGTCATCACAACTACCGTCGCCATCACCACCACCACCATCGAGCTAGTTGCGACATGGCTGAATGCCTCTGAAGCGACCACCACCACTAACATCCAAGGCCCTCGAAGAGTTCATGGAAACGGTGGTCCGCAAGAAAGGACTGTCAAGCTTGCTTCATTCATCAGTGTCATTGGAAGCGGCGGGATCCCTGGACAAGTTCGGGGCAGTTCGGGGTCAGCATGCGATGAGCAAAAACACCCAGCACGCAGAAGTAAACAACAAATTTGAAGCGCAGGCGGTCTGCGGCGGTGCGGTCGGCGGTCTAGTCGCGGCGCACCACGGCCGCAGCCGTGATTCAAGCGGGCGCGCCCAGACGCCAGGAAGAAGGCTGACCACCACAACACGAGCGGCTCCGTTACGGCGGAGGGCTTGGGCGGAAAGGGCCACAGACAGGAGAGAGGGAGGAGGGGGAGGAGGAGGAGGAGGAGGAGGAGGAGGAGGAGGAGGAGGAGGAGGAGGAGGAGGAGGAGGAGGAGGAGGAGGAGGGAGGAGGGGGAGAGAGGAGAGGGGGGGGCGGAGGTAGGAGGCAAGGGCTGCTCGCGCACATGCCCGCCGCCGCTGCCGCCACCGCACCCTCGCCGCCGCTGGCGCCGGCAGCCTCCGCTCATCATGGGCCTAAGCCCACCGTGGCGAGGAATATAGGGGAACGAAAAATAGCATAGACATTAAAACTCGGAGGTCCGCGCGGATTTCTCGGATCCGCGCTGGGGCCCCCTGGCGGAGCCTCCGGCGCCGCCCCTGGCGCGCTCCGCGCGCCAGGGAGGGGGGTCCAGCGCGGATCCGAGAAATCCGCGCGGACCTCCGAGATTGTATGTTTATGCCATGTTTCGTTCCCCTGGATTCTGCAGTGCGTTGCATAGGACGCTCCTCCCAGCCTTCCCCCTGCCCCTCTCCTTCCTTCCCGCCCCGCGCTCCAAAACCAGGCTGACGTTGGCATAACACTGCACTGTGCACGTCTGCTCCCGCTCTTGGGGGGGTTCTGCTCGCTCTCGTTGGTCAGACGCCATCCTCAGGCGCGCACGATACAGTCGAACTTGATTGGACAGGATTCCGAAGGCCACATTGCCATAGGAACGTAGGAGGCATTGGTCGCGAGACACAGGACACAAGGGTACCCTTGATTTGGCAGGGTCGACCTACTAATCCAGGCCGAATGTAATCGTTGCGAAGGTTATCGCGGCCCAAGGGCGCTATTTCCCTGCCCGACCAGACGGGCACGCGCTGACCACAAGCTGGTGTTGCCCGGTAAGCGCTCCACGACTCTGAAGCGCGACGAGAGGGAGGGGAAGGCAGGGAAGACGAGGACGGGGACGGGACGGTGCAGGCGGGGGTGGGGGGGAACGGAGCATAAAGGCGAGACTAATCAGGGAGGGAGTAAGGCTCAGAAAGGGAGGAGAAAGAGGCGGAGTGGAACTATGCAGGTAGGCAGGGAAATACGGGGAAGGGAAGCAAACAGAGGGAGAGGAGGGAGTGGTGGCAGGGAAGACCCCTGCTGGGATCCCAGACGTGCGAATCAGTTATTTCGCGTGGACCCCACGTGCGCCTGGAAGTGCCACCTGGAGATGGAGCCCGAGACTTCGGCCTCGGCGCAGCGAGAGGCGGCGGGAGGAAGAGCAGCAAGTGCTCTACCCAATGAAGAAAAGTCAACACACGAGAAATGGGAAATTCAATCGGTACAGCGTGAAAGAGCACATGGTGCCACCGACAGCGAGGCACAGCAATCAACAACGAACACTGGCATCGAGAAACACATGTACCTCCTCATGATCACGGCAAGCGGCTAATCCATACATACCACGCGCCAGCACTGAGTAAGTATCGCCACGGTGCGCTTAGTTTCCAAGGCCGAAATAATTCAACTTGCCAAATTTCAAAGCGCTCCACGGGGTTCCCTCACTCGCCGCGCCGTCTCGCCTGCATTCCACCACCTCCCGAGGCAGTACCCTAGAATGGCCTAATACCCCCCGCAGTTGATCCAAGAGTACCCCAGGAGAGCCCCAGAGAGCTCACAAAGACAGGGCGCCCAGAGAAGCCCGCGAAGGTCGAAGAAGAGTCCACCAAGACGGCCCGAGATGGCAAGAGGGCCCTAGGAGGCGGCCAAGAGTGTCCCATGGCACACCCAAGACGCCCACTGAGGGTCCCAAGGTGCCCCCAAGACGCTCCGAGGAGGCCCAGCAGGCTTCAACCATCATTGCAAACTCTTGCCCCCCCCCCCCCTTCCCTTCCCCGAACCCGTCCATTTCCACTTCCTGTTACGGCCCCATCTCCATTGGAAAAGCGAGCCGTCACGTGTTACGGACCCCATTGAGAAGCAGAGGCGCCACACAGTGCAGCCCCCTTGGCCCTGGGCTTCCCGAGGCGGCGGGAGCGCGTGCCATACGCAGCAGGCCTCGGGAACCTGAAAACGATATCGGTCACATGTTGCGCGCTTGGCTGTTTGGTTTGTCATACTTATGGTGATGGCCGAGATCGCCTGGAGAGGGAGGACCCTGGCCGACAACCGAACCGTTCTCGATCTGGGCGGATGCACTCAGGTCGATTGCACCGCCGACCGTCCTGTGCACACACACACACACACACACACACACACACGCGCACACACACACACAGGCCAGCATGCACCAGAGTGCGCTCCATCCGTACGAGCCCGTGCACACCCCCAAGAGCACGGCCTGCGTGCACCGCAGATCCTGCGCGTTCCACAAGGGAGCCCTCTCGCTTGCAGACCTCCGAGAGCCTCTGGTCCCAGGTCCTGGGCCTTCCGTGGGATTAAGTCGGGCCTGCCCCCCTACAGGGGGAGGTTCGACGACAAATAAAACAAATACCCCAAAAATAATCAAAAACTAATCCAAAAATAGTCTGGGGACTATTTTTTGAGTATGTTTGACCTTCCAGGTCCTGGGCCTTCCCTGGGACCAGCCCTTCCTCCTGAGCGTCTGTTCGACCGTCCCGGACCTTGTGCCGGGCCCTGAGGGCCCAGAGGGCCTGAAAACTGCAAAAACAACTACAGTAGGGCCGTTTAATAGGATGTTAAAACTATCAGATGTTTAATACATGACTAATGTATGAATAAATGTATGCATGAACTCATCGTTGTTTTTCATACTAAATCCCTGCATTTTTAATACATGATCCGCACGCGGGGCATGTATTAAAAACGGCACTGTACAATAGGGGCCCGACCACAAGAACCCTTCCGCACGAGACCCAGCCCTGAGACCCCAGGACGTCCCCTGGATTTCTGGCCCAGGAGCGTCACGCCCTCCATCGCAAAAAGCCATCGAAGCACCACAAAAACCCAGGGCACCCTGGCGGCAAGCAGGGAGTCTCTCGGCGTGGGCCCCCACTGCAATGAACCAGTTCTCTCGGGAACTGCTTGCCGCAGGGCGACCGGCTGCCGCGTGCCTCCGGGCCTCTGGCCGCGGCGCGCCCTCGAGGCATCCCTGACACCATCATTCGGGACTGGACAGAATCGCCTTGGCTCAGTCATCTGGGCTCCCTTCCAGGTTTGCAGATCTCGAGGTATCCTCGGAGAGCAGGAGGAGGAGGAGGAGGAGGAGGAGGAGGAGGAGGAGGAGGAGAAGGAGGAGGAGGGGGAGAAGGAGAAGGAGACGGAGAAGGAAGGGGGGAGGGGGAGGGGGAGGGGGAGGGGGAGGGTGGGAGGGGGAGAGAGGAGGAGGAGGAGGAGGAGGAGGAGGAGGAGGAGGAGGAGGAGGAGGAGGAGGAGGAGGGCTCCCAAATGAGCTCCGAAAAGGTGGGGCAGAGGATCGCGCCGCATCGCCGCAGCGTCGGGGATGCATCGGCGACGGCGGCACGGAGGAGAAGGGGAACCTCAGATCGAGCCGCCTCGACGGTGCGTTCGGGGATGCGGCGCGAGGCCTCCGGCACTACCTGCTCTGATGGGCCTGTTTTCCTCCTCCACCACCACCATCAGTTGAAGGGGGAGGGGGTCCTCCTCCTCCTCCTCCTCCTCCTCCTCCTCCTCCTCCTCCTCCTCCTCTTCGTCTTCCTCCTCGTCCTCTTCCTCCTTCCCCCATCCAACTTGTGGTGGTGGCGGTGGTGGTGGACAACAGGCCCATCACAAAACCAGCCGCGTCGTCTCGAATCACATCCCGAGAGCATAGGCGACAGCGACCCTGGCGAGCCATCTTGGGCCCTGCTGGCCAGGCGGACCGCGCGGGCACCCGCAGAGGGGAACTTTGGGGGAAGCTGATCGAAGCCGTGTCGGGCGTTCGTGAACTGGGAGGGGGGGGGATTTTAGTTGGGGGTGGAAAGAACGCGCACCTTTCCAGCAACGTTTAGGCCCGCGGTAGCTGTTCAGAAGCCGTTCAGGGGCCCTTTAGGGCCACTTTCTCGCAATCCTCGATCCCCTCCCGTTCATCATCCCCCGCCACCGAGCGCCCAACCATTGTGGGCTCTGTGGAGGCCAACTGGGCTGGTCATTGCGACGGCGTCGGCAACAAGCGACAAGGGCAGCTGCGGCAGGCCCGTGGCGTGACGACTTGCGCCCTCGGCCTCACCGCGTGGGTCCTTCCGCCTGGCGAGGCCGCGGCTCTCCGCTGGCGCAGATCGTTCGGCCTCGGACGATCCCGGGCCCGCGGCGGCGCCTAGCCCCGAACGCCCTCGCTGGGATCGCCACCGCGTCCGCGCGGCACGGACCTGCCGTGCGCGGGGCACCACGGGCCTCCAAGGGCCGCTCGCCCCGGGCCGGCGAGAGAGCGGCGGGCGCGGTCCCGGCGCGGCTCGCGCGGGCGGGGGCGGGGGCGGCCCGGGGCTCGTCCGGAGAGTCCGGGGAGATGGCCCACACGGCACCCGGAGACCTGCGCGGATCCAGACGGCAGTCGAGACGCTGCCAGAAGGAGCCCCAAGCAAGGAACGAGGTCCCCGTGTCTCCAGGAGTTACATTCTGACTGCCCGCGGAAAACCCAGGGACAACCTAGGACGGGCTGTAAAACGATCACTCCGAGTTTCTTAGTAAGCGTCGGGGGGGGCCACCACCGTCGACAGCCCCACATCGACCCCCGTCGCGGGCAGCCACCGCGCGCCGAAGGCGCTCCGACCCCCGTCGCGGCGCGACGGCGAGGCGAGGTTGACCCCCGTCGAGGGGGTACCCCCCACGCTTATCCAGAAACCCAGAGCAAGGACAACCTGGGACAAGCTGCAAAACGGTAAGGAGCACTGAGCCCCTCCCCAACGAAAAGGGTTCCTTCTTCGGCGGCCCGACGGCGCCCTCTCGAAGGCAGCAAGGCGGGGGCACAGCGGGGAGCACGGGAGAAGAGGGCGAGCAGGGCCAGAGGGGCGCGGAGGCAGGGGGGGGGGGAGGCGGAGGGGAATGGGGGAGGAAGGGAGGCGCGAGGCGGGGGAGGGGGGAGGAGGGAGTGGGGAATAGGGGGCGAGGCGAGGGAGGGGGAGGGGGGAGGGGGGGCCCTGAGGGGGCGCGAGGCGAGGGAGGGGGGAGGGGGGAGGAGGGCGAGGCGGAGGGGAATGGGGGAAGGGCTGGCCGGAGAAGAGCGAACGGGAGCACTGGCCTGGAGACTGGCCCCGCCGTCACCTAAAGACGTCTCTGGATCGGTTCGCTGTCCCCCCCCCTCCTCCTCGTGCTCCTTCTCCTCCTCGCTATCATGATCAGAATCCTCAGCAGCATCATCATCAGCATCAGCACAATGCCCGCATAACCATGGGAATCGGCATCAGCAGCATCGTCACAGCCATCGTCATCGACATTAGTATCACCATCATCGTCATCATCGTCACCCTCATTATCAGCAGCATCAGCATCCTCAATATCAGCATCATCATCATCATCATCATCATCATCATCATCATTATCATTATCATCATCGTCATCATCATCATCATCATCATCATCATCATCATCATCATCAGCATCATCATCATCATCATCATCAGCAGCAGCATCATCATCAGCATCAGCATCACCACCAGCATCATAAGCATGATCGTCAACATAATCATCATAATCGTCAGCCTCATCATCAGCATAATCAGCATCATCAACATCAATAACATCATCATCAGCATCATCAGCATCATGACTACATTCATCCTAATCCTAATCATCATCACCAGCATCGTCAGCATCATCATCAGCAGCATCAACACCATTAGCACCATAGCCATCATCATCATGATCGCCATCAGCATCAGCAGCAGCAGCATCATCATCACCTCGATCACCTTTCATCAACATCATCATCGTCATCATTATCATCGGCATCATCGTCGTCATCATCAGCAGCATCATCATCAGCACCGGCATCCTCATCATCATCATCATCATCATCATCATCATCAGTAGCATCAATCATCATCATCATCATCATCATCATCATCATCATCATCAGCATCAACATCCTCATCATCACCATCACCAGCACAATCATCACCATCATCAACACCATAATCATCATCAGCAGCATCATCAGCACCGTCATCGAAATCGCCATCGCCGTCAACATCACATTCACAATCGTCGCCATCCGCAGCAACAGCATCAGCGAAATCATCAGCACCATCAGCAGCATCATCATAATCAGCAGCATCACCATCCTCATCAGCATCATCATCATGACCGTCATCATGATCATAATCATCATCATCATCATCACCAGCAGCATCATAATCATCATAATCAGAACCATCCATTCCATCATCACCATCATCCTCATCATCATCGTCGTCATCATCACCAGCAGCAGTATCATCCTCATCAGCATGATCAGCATCATCAGCAGCAGCATGATCCTCATCATCATCGTCATCATCAGCACGGTCATCATCATCACCACCATCATCATCACCGTCACCATCATCTGCATCATCAGCATCAGAGCCATCATCATCAGCATCAGCATGGTAAGTATCATCATCATCAGCATCATCGTCGTCACAGTCATCGTCTTCATCATCGTCATCATCATCATCAGCAGCAGCATCATTAGCCTCATCAGCATCAGCATCATCAAAATAGTCATCATCACCAGCTCTGTCAACATCCTCATCATCATCAGCAACATCAGCACCATTAGTATCATCATCATCTGCATAAGCATTATCAGCATCGCCATTCATCATCATCATCATCATCATCATCATCATCATCAGCAGCATCAGCATCAGCATCAGCATCAGCATCAGCATCAGCATCAGCATCATCATCATCATCATCATCATCATCATCATCATCATCGTCACCCCCATCATCATCTGCATCAGCATGAGCATCATCATCATCATCAGCATCATCATCAGCAGCAGCATGAGCATCATCATCATCACCGTCGTCATCATCATCATCAACAACATCACCATCATCATCATCCAACCCCCGCCTCCCTCCTAGCTGCGGCTCCCTCCTCCCTTCTCCGTTCTCCATTTCCGTCCTTCTCGACGGGCCCGGAGCCGCAGGCGCAAACACCCGCGCGGCAGGCTGGGAGGGGGCGGCGGAGCACCCCCGCTGCGCGAAAGAAGTGGAAGCAAGCATACACGAGCGCGTTCCACTACTCGCACAGTGACTACTCGCAAATGGCCTGGATCCGCCGCGGGGGACATACGATAAATTACATCGACGCAGACATGTGTTCTTCGGACGTTTGCGAGTAGGCACTCTGCGAGTAGCGGAACGCGCTCGGTGAAAGCAGAAGAGGATGAGACGAGGGGGGAGCAGGAGGACGAGGACAATGCAGGAGAAAGAGGAGGGCGCACGAGGAAGGGGATGAGGAGGAAAAGCGGGCGGAAGAGGACGATCGGGGCGAGGGGGCGAGGGAGGACTGGGAGGGGGGCCAATCCCACCAGCCCCCTGGGCGGAGTTGGTTTTTGGGACGGCTCCTCGTGCAGTTCCCTTGTGGTTCCCCTGTCGGGGAGGGGCCACCCCGTGCCCCTTCCCCCCCTGCCTCACCCCCCCCCCCCTTGGGCCTGGACGGCGAGAGGCCGGAGCGTACCCACGATGGCCCACGAGGGCCCCAGCGGGACCCAGCGGGGCCCGCAAGACGGCTCAACGCAGCCCGGAGTGGCTCGAGGCGGCTTCCAGCGTGCGCCCCAGGGCCCGGCGCAAGACGGCCTCAATAACGGAGCCTCCCAAGGGGGCCCCACGCAAGAAATTCACCCAAGGAGGCTTCAAAGGAGGCCCACAGTCCGTCCCAAAACCGAGGGGCCTATGTGCGCTGCGATGTCCCCAAACAGGTGCAGCGTCAGCAATTGCTTGTCTACGGCAGGGTGGTGAGAGCCTCCAAAAACAATGTGCTGACGTGTCGAACATTTTGTCGTTGGATTCTCGTTTCAACCACGTGCCACTATGTGAAGCGGGTGGGCCGCCCCAGAAACGACTAGCCCGAGCAAGTGCAACAGCACGCTGCCAGCGTACTGGCAAGCACTCAGGATTGAAACGCTTGGGCGAGAGGCGTTGCCCAGCATCGTGCATGCCAGACCTGTCCACGCCCTTTTCAGAGTACGACTTGCGAGGCAATGCAGTGCTTCCGATGGGTCTTCGGGGCCCATAGATGGCTACAAGATTGCCTAAGAGGGCCCCGAAAGGGCCGCAAGACGGCCCCAAGAGCGCCCCCAAAAAACCTCTAGAGCACCTCGTGACGCTACTGTGTCGAGCTCCAGAGGGGCAAAACGAGTTGGGGCCCCCCCCTTGTTTGACCGACGTTCTCCAACATGGTTCCAGAAAGGGGCCCAGGGGATTTCAAGGGGGCCCCCAAAGGCCCCAAGGAGAGCCCCAGCTCAATGAAGGATGTCCCCGGCGCCTAGGCGACAGCCACATTTTCAATCCAAGAGCTGGCCAGCGCCAAGGCGAGAACGACATGCTCTATGAAGGATGTCGCTGGCACCTTGGGCAACAGCAACATGTTCAATTCGCCATTTGGCTGGCGCCAAGACGAAAACGACATGTTCAATGAAGGCCGTCGCTGGCGCCTCAGCAGCAGCAGCAGCAGCAACAGTTTCCATCAAAGATGGGGCCCACGCACAGGCGAGAACAACACGCTCAATGAAGAACTTCGCTGGCGCATAGGCGGCAATAACATTTTTAATCAGAGATGTAGCCCACGCATAACCCGGAACATCATTCGGAGACATGCGTGTCGCCAGAATGCACGTGTCGCGCTCATTCCGCGCGGGCCAGGCTCGGTGTCACCGAGGTCCGGGTTACGCTAGGTGGGTAGTCCACGTCAGAGGGTGGGGTTGTACTCCGCGCCGCCCTCTTGTTTGAACGATGTCCCCCAAGATGGCCCCAAGGCCCCACGAAACTCACAAGACACGCCAAAGGTCTCGGGGCAATTCG